GATTTAGGGATTAGGGTTTATGGTTGTTGTTGCGGGCTTCTGTGGGCTGGGTTTAGGGTTTAGGAACGAGGGGCCTGTTGAGGTTTGCCGCTCAAGGCTTGGGGCTTATTCTTTAGGGAACTCCAGAAGCACATGAGCTATAGTCTAANNGAGATTATATTGGGGATTACTATAGGAGCTATTAAGGGGGATACTAGGAGTTTAGACTATAGCTCATATGAGCATAAGTATCCCACACTAAGGATACAAGGTCCTCGTTTTGCATTTGGGGTATCCTTTTGTGCCTTTTTCGATGTGGTGGTTTGGGTTCCGAACAGAAAAGGAGAAGATCAGCAGGTATGATTGACATCATTCAGAAGGCTTTTTGCCAGTCCGTATGTTATCAAACACTTCTCCATTTCGAGGATCCATGTGGACCCAAGTATGGGAAAGAGCATGCTGAAGTTGCAGTTCTGCTCAACCAGCGGTTTCTCTTCAAGAATCCCTGGGTTTAGGGTTTAGGGTTTAGAGCCCGTTGGGAAGAAAGTGCTCAAGTTCATGTACCTACCTAGGCTTCGCCTGAACAGAACTGCAAAGATGTTTATTAGCTCCTTGAGGAGGAATTCTTTTAGAGGTTAGCAGATAATGGAGCCCTTTTGATCCTTCTGTTGTAGATTGCTGTTCTAGCCACTCTAGTGAAGACTGCTTAGTAATAGTAATAGTAGGAGCAATAGCAGTAGCAATAGCAATAGCAATAGCAGTAGTAATCGTAATCGTAATAGTCATAGTAATGGCAATAGTACTAGTAATAGCAATAGTCATAAGACTTGCTTAGGTCCACCGTCGTTCTTCCACAGCCTGGCAATGCTACTGAAGGCTGAATCAGGGTTCAGTGTAGGCCGCAGTGTAATGAGACACTAAAACCAGGCAGAGACCGCTTCACCGTGAACCCCAATTTTTTCTCTGACCAGCTTGTCTGTGAAGTGTCATAGCGAGTGATGTCCTGACGTTGACCCCTTCGGGGACGCGGGACAGCACCCTGATACTCTCTCACAGACGGCTGCGGTCAGAAAGCCCTGGGATAGTAAAGCGGCTCTGCCTGCGTTTTGGTGTCACGTTGTCTTGCTGCACTAAGCCCTTAACCCTAAACCCTAAACCTTGTTTTGGGTTCAACTAGGGTTTTGCTGATGGTGCCCAGGGTTTCCCACAGCATCCACCACCGTACGCCCCCTACCCATTGCCACCATCATCGTGAAGCTGTAAACCCCTAAGCCCTAAGCCCTTCGCTCTCAACCCCGAAGCGCTCCTTTGAACTTCTACCTGGAAAGCCATGTGGTTCAGGGTTTTAAGGGTTGCCGAAGATACTGAGCTGCTTTCCCCAAAAGCCGTAGGAGATCAGGTGAAAGTAGATTACACGTTTGGGCTAGTGGCTTTCTGCAAAGGCTTTTCAGAATCCCTGAAGCCCTGGAGCTTCCCCGACCGGTGCTTCTAAGGTTCCGAGGCCCCGAAAGCCCCGTCGCTTCTTTGTTGCCATCTGTGTAGTTCCTGTGTACAGCACAGCAGACATAGTTTCTAGCATATCTACAAGCCTTCTTGTACCCCATGGGTTTAGGGTTCAGGGTTTACGAAGCCCCAAGCTCTGAATCCTGTAGGAGCATATCTACAAGCCAGACTCCTTCATCGTGAAGTGCGGCCACGCTCCCAGGTCTCTGTTGTAAATCGCTGGGTGCTGACACGGATGCTTAATGTGTAAACAGAGCAGCCACTTCCGTTGACTCAAACAGCGACGCGAAGCCCTACGCTCACAAAACTAAGCCTTGCACTTGCATGAAAAAAGGCGTGAATTGCAATTAATCTTAAACCTATTCCCTCCGTGCCGTCGAATAGCTGATAGTCGTCTACCAGGCGAGAAGCTTGAAAGCATGATGATCTTCATCCAGGCCGGTGCGATGAGCAGGTCTTCAGGTTTGCATGCGCGCATGTACAACTTAACGAAGCTAGTCATAATTCATGGTGTACGTACTTGCGTACGTACATACATACATACATACATACATACACAGCTGTATACATAGATGCACATGATCAAAATAGAGTACGATGATTGCCGAGTCGCATGCTGCATACTCTTCGGCTGCAGGGTACGGCGCAGATGAAAACGCGGGTGGGCGATGAGATCGGGGTGATGCGGAAGGGTTCCATCTTCGGTGAGGCTCCTGGCAGTCACCATACAACTATTAATACCATTTATTGTTATTGTTAGTTTTGCTATTACAAGTATTATTACCATTTTTGTTACTACTTTGTGCACAACTTACTACTATTTTATTTCTACTATTATTAATGCAATCTGAGCTTTCTGAATAGATTCCTGAAACAGTCCTTGCTGTTGAAGTAGAAAGTTCCCCCCCAGAGCCTTTGAGCCCAGACGCAGTTGAGCAACGCTATCTTGCAAGCAGCGCCAAACGCTATCACTACTACTAGTACACTATTACCCACTATATAGTCCCAGTGTCCATTTCATTTTCCATTTTCTTTTCCATTTGATTTTCCATTATAGTAGTTTCCTTTTCTTTTCCATTGTCCCAATATAACCCCAACCCTAAACCCTAGACCCGAAACCCTATTGTCCCTGAGACCAATGGTCTGGGCTTGTTCCAGAGCTCTATGGCTACGGTCGCGCCACTCAGAGACTGTTGGGAGCTTCTCAAACTTAGGGGGGCCCTTTTGGAAGGGTCCAAGTACCCATCGCGATAATATTAGGGCTATATTGGGGTTGTACTGGGTAATGGAAAATAGAATGGAAGAGAACGTAAAGTGGAAACTACTATATTATGGGGTTTAGCACTCTGGGAGTTCATATCGACAGGATGTTGTTGTATTTGAGTTTACCTGGGGGCCCAATTTTGAGAAGCACCCATACTTGGTAGTTTCCCAAAATGAGGGGACCCCAATATAGACCCCAATATACTATGATCCTTATTCTGGGGACCCCTAGAATGGTACACCCAATTTTGGGAAACCCTAAACCCTATAGAATCCCCTAGATAATCCCAGTTTCCATTTCATTTTCCATTTCTTTTCCATTTGATTCTCCACTATAGGGGGATAATATACCCTAAAACCCTAAACCC